TTACTATTTTATTATTTTTCTATTTTATAATTCCTCTTCTTTCTTCCATGGTTTACCCTTTTACACCTTTTTGTGGATTATTATTCTTTTAAGATGCCTTTTCTTAATTTTCAATTTTTAACTCTCTTTGTATTATTTTTCCAGTGTTTGACTTAGGAGTTAAATATACATCCTCACACTCTCATAATCTACTTAGAATTAATGTAGCATCATTTTACTTAAAACACAGCAGTCTTGCAACTGCAGGGGTCCATCTACCACCCCACTCCTTCATGCTAAGGTTATCCTATGTATTATATCCAAAAATATTATTAGTCTCACAAGAAATGTTATATGGATTTTTCTCTAAACAATTGTGTATTTAATTTAATTTTATTTATTTATTTATTTTTGAGACGGAGTCTCGCTCTGTTGCCCAGGCTGGAGTGCAGTGGCGCGATCTCGGCTCACTGCAAGCTCCGTCTCCTGGGTTCACGCCATTCTCCTGCCTCAGCCTCCTGAGTAGCTGGGACTACAGGTGCCTGCGACAACGCCCAGCTAATTTTTTGTAATTTTAGTAGAGACGGGGTTTCACCGTGTTAGCCAGGATGGTCCTCGATCTCCCAACCTCGTGATCCGCCCGCCTTGGCCTCCCAAAGTGCTGGGATTACAGGCGTGAGCCACCGCGCCCGGCCAGAACAGGCTATTCTATTAGCAGACAGGGTGCAGCCAGACATCCTTCATGTAACCTCTGCCGCCGGATGGGCTCCACACACCCGCAGAGAGCTGCCCAACCAGGTGTTTTCATCCAACAGAGCTGCATGGACCCATGCAAGTACTAAATCAATCAACCCACTCCCTTCTGGTCAATCCAGGTTCACCCAGCAGCTAAGGGAAGTGAGCCTTACCCGTGGGATGGAGCACGACAAACAGGACAATTGGCTTTGGAGGAAATAAATGATTCCAGTCAGACGACAAAGTTTTAAAAAACCTAATGAGAGTCTTCAGAAAAAATAGACAAGATATGGGTCTATGAATTCGGAAACAGCTTGCTATAAAAAGAAGGCAAGGAAAGGATAGAAAGTCACAGAAATTAAAAATATAGTTACCAAATTAAAATTCAATAGAAGAAGTGGGGGGAAGACAAAGTCGAAGCAGTCTTTCAGAACGCATAACAAAAAGACAAGAGGAAGAAGGTAGTATGAGAAAGATGCAGAGACATGGAAGATGGATGCCAATGGACCCACGCTTGACTAATAGGAGTCATGAAAAGAGACAAAGAGACATGGAAAAAGAAAAAAACATTAATCAAAGAAAGAAGAGGAGATGATTTCCCAGGATGAAGAAGAACACCTGTGATGAAAAGTTTCGGTTCCTGGCCGCCCTCCCGTTCTATCCTGTAATGCAGCTAGTATGGCTGGAGCTCCAGCAGCCTTTTTGGGCCATGAATTGACCTTAGCAATGATAGAAGCCAGACATGGTGGTACACACCTATAGTCCCAGCTACTCAGGAGGCTGAGGCAAGAAGATCACGTGAGTTCGAGACTAGCCTGGGCAACAGGCAAGACCCCATCTCTTTTTTAAAAAAAGATAGAAGTCTGGATTCTTTATTGTGCCTTTGAGCTCCATTCTAGTCTTGAAATCCTTACCTCCCAACTTCTTCTCTGAAAGAGAAATAAACTTTCATCCTGGCCAGGCCACTGGATTTCTGCAGGTTTTCTGTTCCATGTAATAAACTGGCTTCTAACTCTGTGCTGTCCAATATGGTAGTCATCGGCCACATGCAGTTATTTAAATATAAATTAACTAAAATTAAATTAAATTAAAACTCAGGTCCTCAGTCACACTGGCCACATTTTAAAAAGCTCAATTGCCACATGTAGCTAGTGGCTACTATAGTGGACAAAGTAGAGACAAAACATTTCCATCATCGTGGAAAGTTCTGTTGGACAGCACTGCCCTAACTGACACAAATCCCTTCTCACAAAGATGCTTGTGTTCTGGCAAAGGACATAAAAACAATCCATTCTCTGGAGTACCCAGCAGAATGTGTGCCATTATGAGGTATAATTATGGAAGTCAAAAGGGCCTCCTAGAAGAAAGGCATCTGGGATGAACTTTAAGGCTCATGTGGGTATACAGGATATGGCCTGAAGACTGTGCAGCTTCAACAAAATCTGGAAGCAGAAAAGCACAAGACATGCTCAGAATCATCTAATTTTATTGATGTGTAGGATCTGGAAATCTGTCATGTCTTGAAATAACTAATGTCCTCTAAACTCACTGGTGGCAGAGATTCTGTAATGGCCAACTGCTTCTAGCCCCACCCTGAGCACTGCTGGGTGATATCCCCAAAATGCTTTTGCTTACTAAGACACAGACTTTTGCACAGTATGTAAGGGCAAGTATGCAATTTTATTTTATTTGTAGGTGTTACATCATTTTGATCTGAGACATGGCCATCCTACAGGCAATAAATATCATCAAGGAGACTTCACCACAAGTCACCAACAAATGTACCTTCTCATTTTGCAGTAGCTGCTAATAAATTGGCAGAAAGACCAAAACCATTCTGGATATTACATATCAGATTGACCAGTTCAAACAGGTGGTCTGCTCCTTCCATTTTATTAACCATTTCCTTGAACGCATATATTTACACCAAACAAATTCCCTACAGAAGCAGATATTTAACATACCCTATCACACAATATTCCACAGTTATATGTATTGTTTTTGGGGGAGACACTTGGTGTTGGGTGCTAGGGGGTGCCTCATTTACGCACAGATATTTACCAAGTCACGGCATACGTGTATTCCTTCCAAATGAAGACACATCTAAATACTTGGGTTATTTCTGCACTACTTATAAAGATTAAAAGGCATTTGAGCACCTCCCTAAAGACCTTTATATGAAAGGTCAGATCTTGTAGCAACTCACGAAGCACCAGAGCAGAAAATTAGCCTAAAGAGAATTGGGTTCCCAGCTGGGGCCAGTGTCAAGCACAGGGTTGAAGTTTCTGCCCGTAGGATTGGAACTCACTTAGTACTCAGGTCTAGCAGGCAGAAGAGTCGATGCACATTTGTTTTTCAACAATAACAAGCATTCCTGGTGCACTTTCTCCATGCCCGAAGCTGCTGTGGGACATGGGGCCACCACGTTGGGCGGGGCAGAAGAGAGTGCAGCCTTCACAGAAGCCTGGATCCTGAAATACGTCCCGCAGAAACAATGCACTGTGGCTCCCCATGGTGGTTACACAGGACCACTTACTGCCCATCCATGGATACACACGTGACTTTTCAGCAACAAGGAAGAGGAAACATTTGAAAACACAGCTGCCTCTTCAGAACTCAGTTGCCAACAGCCTGCTAATTTGCCAGTTTCCAAATGATGTGGACGTCTTATGCATACTCCTGTTCATGCCAGCACCGTTTCTCTGCAGGGGCAGGGGTCCAGTGCATACGTTATTGATACGGCTACACCCAGGAAGCCCCTGTCCTGGCAGACCCCAACAGGAGGGGTCCCTCTTCTGCACCAGTGGCTCGCTGTTGTGTGACCCAGTGGTCCTCTGCTTTATTTACATTGTTTTCATTGGGTGCAGTCTAGATGTGAATGTCCAAAACAAAGCGGAAAACAGGAATCATACCAAAAGTTATTACGAGAGTGGACTGTGAGAGCTGCAAGGACTCCAGCCCTTCGCTTCAGAGACCACACAGACCTCCTGGTGTCCAGGCCACTGCTCTGACCACTGGCCCCTGTGTCCTTCCTTAGTATTTACCCCATCTAGTCATTTCTTTTTCTTTTCTTTTCTCTCTTTTTTTTTTTTGAGTCTTGAACAGTCGCCCAGGCTGGAGTGCAATGGTGCAATCTCAGCTCACTGCGACCTCCGGCTCATGCCTCTAATCCCAGCATTTCTTTAAAATAAAAAGCAAACCCTATAGTGCTTTACAAATTTACAAGAAGCTCTCACAATTTTGCACTTCTCATGGCCATCATGTACAGCCAGCACAGATGTGGAACCTGAAATGAGATGATTCAGGCCACACAGCAGTGAATGGCAGAGTTAGGACCTGAACTCGGGCTAGTCTAGGTTGGGAGAAGATGGGGCTCCCCGGGCAATAGGTTGGGCCCTGACCTTTGTTGGCTACTGAAATGAGACTGACGTGCTGCCAAGTATACAGGCGAGAGTTCAGACTCCAACACAGATCTGGTGTGAGCCACTCAAAGCAAGCCTGGCTGTGGACGTGTGCTACACGCAGCACTGGGCACCTTGAACCCCTTGAGCCCCTGGAATGCCCCAAACACCCATTTGGAAACCCCAGATTAAGCCCAAATAAGATGGTAAGAAAGTCACAGAGTCTTCCACAGCACGTGAGGCAAGGTGTGTAGCATAAGGTTTTATGTCTGGGTAAGTGCAACACCATGATTGACAGAAGTACAATTATTCGGACAATTATGAACACAAGCCATGAATCAAAAGTTCAGGCAAGGCAGGCAAAGAAGACATTTCAGAACAAATGAACAGACTGCTTCCGATGGAAAGAATCTGGCCGCTCTGCTCTTCCCTGAAAAGCATGCATAGCTCAGAGTGCAGCCAGCAGACTGTGGACCTGCTTCTGGGGAGAAGCAGCAATTCCGCCTGACGTGGCTATCAGAACTTTTCTTCCCGTCACAATCCGTTTTCATCATGCCTGGCTTGCACTCAGAGTGCTGTGCGTTCCCTGAGCACATGCCTGCTAGGTGGAGGGTGGGTGGGGCCCCCAGAAATGGGTGGGAGCAGTGGAAACCAGAGGACACAAAGGACAGTAAGAAAGTGTCATGACTGTTCCCAGAGTGGATAAACAACCCTTGCATGTTGGACACAATCACCAGGAACTGAACAGACAGAGCCTCTTAGGCCCATGTCTGAGCTGGTAACGAGAGAAAGGGGATGCTAGCACTCCCGCCTACCCTTGGCTGTCCCTTTGTCACAGGCGAGCAAACAAAGGAGAACAGAGCCACAGAGAGGAGCACTTTGTACTTAATCCCTTCCGGGACAGCTGCAGGCGATTCGGAAGCCTCGGCAGCAAATAATCTCCTTAAACGTCTTGCGCATCTCCCGGCTGCGGAAGGCATATATGAGAGGGTCCACCACGGAGTTACACATGATGAGGATGAGGTACATATTGAAGTGAGACATGAAGCAAGAGCAGTAGAGGTTCTGAGGGCAAGAAAGCATTAAAATGAGATGCAGGAAGAACGGGGCCCAGCACACGATGAACACGCCCAGCAGCATGGTGAGGGTGACGGCGCCCTGCACGCTGGTCCTCTGCCGCGCAGAGCTGGCCCCGGGCAGAGCCGCCATCCGCTTGGCGTGAGTCCGCGCCAGGAGGAACATGTGTATGTACAGACACACCAGGAGGAAGAGCATCGTGAAGAACATGGAGATGAGGCACAGGATGACGTAGGTGGACTCGGAGTACAGGATGAAGACGATGCCGCAGCCGGTGCAGAAAGCCCAGATGCCGGCGATGATGGCCCCCGAGCGCCTCGCCGTCATGATGTGGTGGTAGCGCAGGGCATAGAAGACGGTGACGTACCTATCCACCGCAATGGCCAGCAAGCTGCACATGGACGCCACCACGGAAATGCAGATCATGGAGTCAAACACGTTGTCAATGTGGCGCACAAAGGCGTCTGCTATCACTAGGTGCTTGTTGTTGAGCAGGTAGATGGTGATGGTCTCCCAGGCGTTGGACATGCTCACCAGCATGTCGGCCACCGCCAGGCTGCATACGAAGAAGTACATGGGGCAGTGCAGGTTTTTGTTCTTCACTATGGCCCCTATAACCAAGATGTTCTCCACGAGGCTGATGGCACCCAGAGTGAGAAACACCTCCACAGCGACGCCCATGTTTTCACAGGGCGAAGACTTGTTTCTGACACTGGGTCCTGAAAGGTTGCCCTCTGTGGCATTCAGGTTGAGATCCAAGAAATGCAGGTGAAACGAGGAATTCATTGCTGGAGAAATTCACCTCTTGTCTTGGCAGCAAATTTACTGTAAAACACGTTTTAAATTCACAATCCAGGGAGGTCAGCAGCCTACCAAAGAAAGACAGCAGCTTGCCTAGAAACAACACAGCCTGAGAAAGGGGATGAATGAGTGCACTGCATCAGAGGACTGAGCTTGGCTTGCTCAATCCTTTTTTTTTTTTACAAGACAAGGCCTCCCTGTGTTGCCCAGTCTGGTCTCAAACTCCTGGCCACAAGCAATCCTTCTGTCTCAGCCTCCCAAAATGCTGGTACTCCAGGGGTGAGCCACGTGCCCAGCCGCTGGCTTGCACCTTCTGACCTGCGTTCCTGAGACCTGGAAGAGTGCCCCTGGATGCGTGGATTAGAATCTTCCCCAGCCTCTTCTGCTCTCCTAGCTTTCAGCTCCCAGCCTTTCACACGCATCTTACTAGAGAGACACTCACCTCCATGTGCCCAGGACAGTCTCTTTTTATGGCTGCTCTCCTGGGCTCAAGTTCACCATCGAAAATGTCCCCAACTCATAACCTACAAAATCCCAGCCAGTCTCCCGAAGTTCACATTCCTAAGGCTACTGCACGACCTTCTCCTCCAGGGAGCTCCGATTTAAGACTGCACAGACCCGTATTCCCTTAAGAGAGAGAGACAGGTGCATCCCCAACATTTGTCCTGACACCTCTCAGACCCACTGGGATTCAGCCTCCACAGCTGTAAGTGAGGTTATAGCCAGAGTGGTCTGTGACCCTGAGCAAAGTCACATGTTAAAAGCTACTGTCTTAAGTTTGGAAGTGTAGGCTGCACATACATGTTAAACTTGAGGAAAACAGTGCTGCTTTTCCTCAATACCTATTTTTCCCTCCTTCTGCATTATGTGGAATTCCATGAGGTCTGACTGATAGTTTATTAGGTCCGCGTGAGCACAGTATAAAAAAACAGCAGTTTACATGTACCACACTTCTTTGTTGCAAAATGTCTCTCTTATGATTCATTTTCAAAAATCCCTTTGCCTCCAAACTCAGATCACATCTGGAGAGAATTTCTGTCATCGCTCTCATCATTAATATTGGCGATCATTCCGGGAGGGAGGGAGGGGGTGAGGGACAACAGATTACTTAACAGGTACAATGTGCACTATAGGGGTGCTGGCTACACCAACAGCCCGGGCTCCACTACTAGGCGATATATCCATCTAACAAAACAGCACCTGTACCCCCTAAATCTATAAAAATAAAAAAGGAAAAAATTGGTAATCATAAGCATTTATTGAACTGCAATCACTGGTTACATGCTTATGTCCAGCTGCAGCTCACAGATACCGGTAAATGATGGAATTACACTATAAACATCATATCGAGCTGTGTTAAAAACTCAGGGGCAAGCCGGCTGCCGCCCCGCTCACTTCCACAAGCAGCGGACGCGCAATTTTGCATCTACTTTCAGGATCGCAAGGAGATAGAAAGTTGTGGCTATTTACCGGTGCTCCTCCTCGTGGGCTGCGGCGCTCAGCCCGGGCCTCCGGCGTCCCCGGGATCTGACGGCCGCGCGGCGCTCAGGGCCAGCCCCGGACGGGCCTCCACTGGCGGCTCTGCCGGGCTTTAAGCTTCCTGCCCGCCCGCGCCGGGCCCGCCTCCGCCGCCGGCTGTCGCTCCGGGCGGCCTCCGCTGCCACCTGGTGGCCCCGCGCGGCACTGCGGCCAGAGAACCGCGCCAGCCCAAGCGAAAATCCTCCCCCAACGCATTCTTGAATGGCTGGTTGGTGGGTTGGTTGGTCGGTGGGTGGGTTGGTTGGTCGGTTGGGTAGTTAGTTGGTTGAGTGGGTGAGTGGTTGTTTGGTTGATTGGTTGGTGGGTGGGTGGGTTGGTTGGTTGGTTCATTGGTTGGTTGAGTGATTGCTTGGTTGGGTAGTTAGTTGGTTGAGTGGGTGAGTGGTTGCTTGTTTGGTTGGTTGGTGGTTGGTTGGGTGGGTGAGCGGGTGGCTGTTTGGTTGCTTGCTTGGTTGGGTGGGTGGTTGGGGGTAGTTAGTAGGGTAGGTGAGTGGTTGCTTGATTCATTGGTTGGTTGAGTGGATAGTTACTTGTTGCTTGGCTGGTTGGTTGGGTGGGGTTAGTTGGTTGGGTAGGTGGTTGGTTGCTTGGTTCATTGATTGGTTGGTTGGGTGGGTGGGTGGCTGGTTGGGTGAGTGGATGGTTGCTTGGTTGGTTGGTTGGGTGGGTGGGGGTTAGTTGGTTGGGTAGGTGGTTGGTTGCTTGGTTCATTGGTTGGTTGGGTGGGCGGGTGGGTGGTTGGGTAGGTGGGTGGTTGGTTGATTGGGTGGGTGGGTGGCTGGTTGGGTGAGTGGATGGATGGGTGGTTGGGTGGATGGGTGGTTGTGTGGGTGGGTGGTTGGTTGGGTGAGTGGTTGGTTGGTTGGGTGGGTGGGTGGGGGTTGGTTGGTTGGGTAGGTGGGTGGGTGGTTGGCTGGTTGGGTAGGTGGGTGGGTGGGTGGCCGGTTGGAGGGGTGGTTGGGTGGGTGGCTGCTTGGTTATTTTTCTGGCTGGTTGCACTTTTTGCTTCTTTTCTCTTCCTCTTACCCACTGATTAAAATGCTCCCCAGCTCAAAGAGGGCTCTGTCACCCCCTTTCTCCCGGATGGCAGTCTCTGGGATCTCCTGATGATTGTTCTTTGGGAAGGAGGCCCAGTGCCTGGGAGCCCTCATCTGTGGCCCTACAATGCCCCTCTTTGCCCGAGGCTCTCACCCCTCCTCCAGGACTGCACGTACCATGCCAGGCTTTATCAACCACACAAGCTTTCCTTACTCCAGCAAAAAAGAGAACAAAGGATGTCCTCTTGTCAAATATCCTGGCCTTTCACAATAGTTTCTGGACCACTCCTTTCTCTGACACCTGAAACTGACCTTCAACCCCCAAAAGAATCATTATACTCACGATCGGCAGAAGCACCACTGCCCCTGCAAGCCAGGGCAGGATGCACAGGGCCATATCACTACCAGAGCTTTCCCTGGGCTTCGCAGATGATCACAGCCTTCCAGCAGTTCGAGTGTGGGGACCACAGTCTGGCTGGTCTCAAACACCACTGGAGTCCCGAGCCGTGCTGGGAGCTGCGGGGTGGAATTCTAGGAGGAGGTTCTGAATGTTGAGAATACACATTGGGAATGTGGTGTGAGGGAGGGAACTCGTTTCTGTGTGTTGAAAACATCGGCAGAGTCAAGTACTCCCGCATATAGTCCTCACATCCAAGATCAGAGAGGGCTCTGCAGAAGGTCCTGGCATCCCAGGAAAGTGCTCAAATTGAATCCTCTGTGCAAAGTGAGCAGCTGGACCGCAGCACGCAGCCTCCCACACTGGTCAGGGCAGCTGGCCCGGGGCCCTATGTGCAGGGGAGACCCTGAGTGCTGCACAGGAATTACCTTTCTCAATCTTTACAAAACCCTAGAAGTGGGTTTCTCATCTCACAATGGAGGGAACCGGCGCTTGGAGAGGTTTAGCTGAGCCCTGACCGACTCAGAGCCCAAGCACTTCTCCCTGCAGGACTCAGCCTCTCTGAGAGCCCTGGTGCCACCGGGCATTATTCTTTTAAAAGCTGCTGGATTTGATGCGCAGTGATCCTGGCTTCATACTGTCTTTATCAGATGTTGGCATGTAAGTTACCCTAACTTTGCTAAATAAACTGGGGAGAGGTTTTATTATTTTCCTATTCTGAAACACCTTAGGTGGTATAGGAATTCTCGGTTTCTTGCAGGAAAATAATGGAATCAAGGTCAATAGAGTTAAGAGAGTATAGAATAAGCTCTTCAGCTGTTCCTGTCATTGGAAACTTTCTCCCCAACAGCAGCCTAGTGACGATGCTGGACACACACAATGACATGGCACTCTAGGAGCCACCCAGGAAGGAACGCTCCTTTCCCTGTCAAAGACCAGCGTAACCTGCAACAACCCAGGTGTTTTATTTCTTGAGCAATGACAACAGAGATGATTCTCAATTCGAATGCACAGAGACAACCTGTGGAGTCCTATCTGTGAAGGCTTGCAAGGGTGAAATCTAGCTGGACACTGGATGTTTCAGCCTGGGTTCTCTGAGTCATGGGCTCTGAGGAGTTCACCGTGCACGATGCTGTGGGGAAGCCTCCTGGGGGCAGGACTGCGGAGGGAGAAGAGAGCTGCCAGGCAGCCCCAACAACCTCAGCCCTCAGGCCCACCCAGCTCAGTCACCAGAAGCAAGCTGCTTCCGGGAAGGTGTGAGGCCAACCCGGAGGGGCTGACAGCTGGGGGAGGCAGCAGACCACCCCTACAGTTGGGCAGTGGGTCCTCCCCGAGGCGTCTGGCACAGCTCTGTGTCTGTCGCTCTCATGGCACCAACAAATGTCATCTCTGTGCTCAATGCCACCAAGGGTCTGGACGAGGGCACTGGGAGACCTGCTGCAAGGCAAAGCTCACCCAAGTGAGTGCTGAGAAAGCAAGACAATCACAAATGCTGGGTTATGACCATTTTTAAACTCCAAGGATTACAAAATACTTTCATATATTAACTTCTGTAATCCTTAAAACAACCCTGGGAGGTATGAACATTATTACCAGATTCATATACACAGACTCTGAAGTTCACAGTTTCTCACACTATTTGGCTGGTCAGTGGTGCCACCAGCTGTTGATCCAAATCTTCTCAATCCCAAGCCCATGTTTATGTAGATGCACTTGCCACGTCACACATGAACATTGGGCTATGCAATCCTAAATATGCACGAGTTTTCCACCTTACGTAGAAAGAAAAAAGGGAAGGAACATTTGCTGGGAGCCTGCAGTGTCCAATCAATACTGTGGTCTGCATGTCCGAATTCTCAGTGAATTCTCCCAGTAGTCGTATAAAGTCGACATTCTTCTCACCACCTCACAGCTGGGGAAGCCGAAGCTCCGAGGAGTCGTGTGATGGAAGCAGGATCAGGATCTGAATCCAGACTCCCAGGTGGTGTCTGCGCTTAATCACAGTCTAAGGA